GTCCCAGGGGAGGGCACCTCTGGGATGTCCTTCACACAGGCAGCTGTGCCTGGGACTGGAGGCTGCCACAGGGAAGGTGGAGGCTGGGAACACCTGGCTTAAGGGGCAGGTGGGAGGGATACAGGGGCCCGGAAAGAGAAGAGCCGCGAGGTCAGGAGGGAGCAGAAGTCCAGGCAAAGAGTTAATGCCCATCACAAGGCTGCCAAGGCCTCTCCCAAAGCAGCCAGGACCCTCCCTCAGCTCACACAGGGCCCTACATCTGCCCGAGCACCCTCCCAGCCACATTCTTCCTTTAGATATGCTAATAGGGGCCAGAGGGGAGAGGTCACGCCTTCTGTGGGCTCTGAGCCTTTGTGTCTCTTTCAACCCTTCGCATATCTTTGCTCTGACCATTATGTACAGATTTTCTCCTTTACATCTAAGCCGGGACTATCTTCATCTCCATTTCTGGCAAGATTACTTCAAGCTGACCCCCTGCAATGTGAGATACGACAAAACACACAGGGCCTTCTGACTCCAAGCTGGATTAACATAGGGGCTCTGCCTCTGCCCCAAAGCACTTACGCCTCAGTGTTTTTGCCTGTGGAATGGGGTAATATAAATCACCTTGTGGGGCTGGTGATGCAGACCTGAGAGGTTCAGTATCGCCTGCCGGGTATGTTGAGAATTCTGATGGCCCCACTGCATGTGCAGATTGGACATGGGAATCTCTAGGCATGGGGCCCAGGTTCTGAAGGAACCTCAACCCCCACCCTAGGAATTCCACTCTCCTCCTGTTTGCGTATCTTCATACAGAATTTATCATGGCCTATCAGTAAACTCTCTCAGTAGGCCAGTCTCTCTATCCCATGATCAGAAATTCTCAGAAGGCCAGTCCCTTCCTAGACTGGCTGTGGTTATTTCCAAATCAACAAGCTATTAAGTCATGCCTCTTCAACTGTAACAATCATCTCATTTTGAGAGGGCAACTCAAGCCTTCTAATTTATTAATTTATTCACTCACTTGCAGTTGGCCCCTCAAGTCCTCTCCGGCAGGAATAATTGAGAATTCATGCAAATTCCGGGGTGAGGCCAGAACAATTGGAAAGAGAACAACCTTAGCACAAGTTCACCCAAGTCTCCCCAGGGTACTGATAACTGGTCCATAATTAATAATACTGCTAACAGGTCTATGCCACTACTTTGTGCCAGGCAGAGATATGTATGTGTTTTAGGTAGGTTACCTATTTCACCTTACTTTTTAAGGATTTATTATGTATTTGAAAGGCAGAGTGACAGAGAGAGGAACTGAGAGAAAAAGAGAGAATCTTTCATCCACTGGTTCACTCCCCAAATGGTAGTAATGGCCTAGGCCCGGCCAGGCTGAAGCCATGAGCTCCATCTGGGTCTCCCATGTGAGTGACAGGGGCCCAACTCCTTGGGCCATAACCCACTGCCTTCCCAGGTACATCAGTAAGAAGCTGAACCGGAAGCAGAGAAGCCAGGACTCAGTGGACACTAGCTATGGGATGCCAGTGTCCAAGGAGTGGCTTCACCTGTAACATCAGCTCCAGATCAACTATTTTAATGCTCAAATTTATTGTTAACCTAACTTTACAGAGGAGGAAATCAAGACACAGAGAGGTGAGGTCACACAACTAGCATGTCGGTAAAGGTAGAATTTGAACGCAAATAACCTGGCTCCAGCATCAGGACTTAACGATCACACTAAGTAAATTAGGGCTGGGTCGGCCCCCAGTGGCCCGAATCAGACTATGGAGGAAGAAAGCTCCATGCAGGCCCCAAGTCCAGCGAGGAACCAAGACGAGGAGGGAGGGAGTCCCTGAGAGCCCAGACTGGGGGACACAGCTGACCACAGGCTGAAGGCTTCCTGAACTTCCTGGCCAGAGAGATGAATGACATGAAAGGGAAATTTCTCCAGGAGAAGAAAACATTTTTGAGGTTTTCTGGTTGTTGTTGCCTCGTGTCTGATTTCAGATGTGCAGTTTCTTCGCTGAGTCACACAGAGGGACATCCTGGAACGGGCAGGGAGGAGCAAGCGTGGCTGTGGCCTCCCCATTCCTGGGGCAGTGGGTCCCCAAGGCAACTCCTTCCATGACCAAGACGCAGCTGACTCCACTGCTCGCCTTCCTCATCGTACCCCGAGTCTCTCCAGGTAACGAACAGTAACAGTGATGGATGTCTGGGTGAAAAGTTAGGGGGATCAGCAGTTCAATAAATATTCATGAATCTCCTACTGCAGGCTCCACAATCAGCCACCCCTATGCTGATTTCCCAGCTCTTCCACTTATTACCCTGGGCAAGGGACCGACCCTCAGTTTCTTCATCTATACAATGGGGGTATTCATCCTGCAAGCCTGAAACGAGGCCACGTAGGTAAGAAAGACAAAGATCCTGGCACAGATGGTAGCTTCTGCGTGCCAGGCACTGTGCGGGGCTGGAAATCAAAAGAGGACTACGGCTGGCACCCCTAGGAGCTCCCGGTCCAGTGAGAGTGGAGACAGAGGTGCAATGAGTCTGGAAGGGGAGCCAGTTCCCAAGGCTGAGGACACAAGACCAAGGGCCACACTGGGGCAGGACACACCAAGTTCCAGGTCTCTAGTCCCGGTTTCTCAGACAAGGACCTGGGTAGGAATCACCTGGAATTCTGTTAAAATGCAGACTCCCCTTCAGTAGTTCTGGGCGAGACCTGAGGATCTCATTTCTGCCCAGTTCCCCCAGCAGCTGCTGGGCCACAGGAGACACCGGGAGGAGTGAGGCGCACACTCGGGGTCCGTGCTCAGGCGACTTTCAGCTGCTCTCCTGCACCGACTTCTGTTACCCTTTGTATTCACTTCAGAGCAACCCGGGCTGGTGAACGGCAGAACCTGTTAACTAGGCAGCTGCTCCAGGTCCCAGAACCAGAATCTCAGACAAAACCCAGTGATTCTTTTAATTATTATTATTATTATTTAGCTGGAAGGCAGAGTAACAGGGGGAGAGAGAGAGAAAGAGAGATCTTCTATCTGCTGGTTCACTCCTGAAATGGCTGCAATGGCCGGAGCTAGGCCAGGCTGAAACCAGGAGCCAGAAGCTTCTTCTGGGTCTCCCACGTGAGTGTGAGGGCCCAAGGACTAGGGCCATCTTCTGCTGCTTTCCCAGGCTCATTAGCAGGGACCTGGATGGGAAGTGGAGTTCCCATATGGGATGCCAGCTTAACCTTCTACACCACAGCACCAGGCCCCAACCTAATGATTCTAACATCTGTTATGTCCATATCCTTGTGTGTCTCTCCTAGCTGTTTCTTGTTTTTTGTTTCTTGTTTTGTTTTGTTTTTTTTTTTTTTTTTTAATATTTATTTATTTATTTGAAAGAGTTACACAGAGAGAGGAGAGGCAGAGAGAGAGAGAGGTCTTCAATTCGCTGGTTCACTCCCCAGATGGCCTCAATGGTTGGAGCTGCGCTGATCTGAAGCCAGGAGCCAGGAACTTCTTTCGGGTCTCCCATGTGGGTACAGGGGCCCAAGGACTTGGGCCATCTTCTACTGCTTTCCCAGGCCATAGCAGAGAGCTGGATCGGAAGTGGAACAGCTGGGACTTGAACTGGCACCCATATAGTACTGCAGGTGGTGGCTTTACCCACTACGCCACAGCACCGGTCCCATCTTCTAGCTGTTTCCTTTAATTACTTTTTTTTTTTTTTTAATTTGAAAGATATACAGACAGACAGCAATCTCCTACTCTCATTGCTTTATCTCCAAATGCTGCAATAGCAGGGCTGGCCAGGAGGGAGCCAGGAATTCTATAACTATGTCTCCCATATGGGTGGCAGGGACTCAACAGCTTCACTCATCACTGCCACCTCCCAGAGTGAGCACCAGCAGGAAGCTGGACTGAGAGGGAAGCCAGGGAGCCAGGAGTTCAAGTCAGGGAACTTGAACCCAGGCACCTGGACAGGGGATGTGGGAGGCTCATCTTAATCTCCGCACCAAAGGCCCACCCCTAGCTGTCCCTTTTCTAAAGCAAATCATTCTAAATTGTAAAGCATTCAAAAGTTTTTTGCATCCGGTATTCTTCTGTAATAAATTCTCTTTAAAAGGTCAGAGGTTTATGAGAAAGGGGTTTAATTCTAAGTCTTTTATTATTCACGTAAATCACCTTCATTCCAACTAAAGTGGTAGGAGAGGTGAATGTGTACTGAAAAAGATTAGAATTTCTGGCTTGTACATAAAATGTTGATATGGAGGAAGATAACATTTAGCTTACAGCCAATGGGACAAGAACTGTCACCAACGCAAAGACTATGTTAGGTGAACCACTGTGCCAGAGAACACAGTGCCTTGAAATTTTACAGTTCATATATGGAAGAAATGTGGATGGAGGGCCCCAAATTTAACAAGCCTCATGTTTATTTGGCTTTACAAATAATAACTTGTGGAACTAGAATAAACTTTTCTAAGTTATCAATGATGATTCTTTTCTAGTCAACCGTGCTAGAGGAATACTATTTTATTCTATTTAATGTTACAGGAAGAGGCAACTACAGAGAACCCAATGAAAGGACACAAAAACAAGAGTGATCGGGGGCTGGCACTGTAACACTGCAGGTTAAGCAGCTGCCTGCGATGGAGGCGCCCCATGGGAGCTCTGGTTCCAGCCCCTGGCGTTCAACTTCTGATCCAGTTCCCTGCTAATGTGCCTGGGAAGGCAGCAGGAGAAGGCTGGAGTTCCAGGTCCCAGGCTTTGGCCTGACCCAGCCCCAGCTGTTGCGGCCATCTGGGAGGGGAACCAGTGGATGGCAGATCTCTTTTTCCATCTCTCCCTTTCTTTGTAAATAAAAAAAATAAAATAAATAAAAAAAAAACTTTTAAAAAAGGAAAGGCATTCTATAAGAGGCCTCTCGAGCAATCAACACAGTGTGTTGTTTTCCTGGATTTTGTGATGTTTGTGATATGTTTCAGCTTTAACATTTCCTCTACCATGCTGTGATTTTATTTATAAAACTGAAAGAAACAGTCACACGTGACTGCTCCTGGTATTCACTGCATTTCTTGGTTGTCCAATGCAACAGTCACACACATCAAAACAGAGGGTTCCTGGGGGCCAGTGTTAAGGCACAGTGGGTTAAGTCGCTGCTTGGGATGCCGACATCCCAGATGGGAGCATGGGTTCCGGTTCTGGCTGCTCTGCTTGGGATCTAGCTCCCTGCTAAGGGGCCTGGGAAGCCAGTGGGAGACAGCCCAAGTGCTTGGGTCCCTCCCACCCATGTGGGCCAGACCAAGATAGGGTTCTGGGCTCCTGGATTTGGCCTGGCCCAACCCGGGCCATCATGGCCATGAAAGGAATGCATCAATAGATGGGGTATTTTTCTCTGTGTCACTCTGCCTTTCAAACAAACAATAAAGAAATCTTTTTGAAGGAAACAAAACAAATGTTTCCTGCTGATGGAGTCCATATAGTCATCAAATTTTCTGTGGGATGGCTCCACAGATGAGAAACAACCACTTTCACATCTTTTATATGTGTGCTTTTCTGTTATTTGTGTTACTAAATTCTTAAGCTTTAGAGCCAAGAAGACACGGATCCACCCTGGGTGTACCTGAAAGCGCGTGGGCTCTGGTGACAGATCTGGGCTTAACTCACAGATCTGCCACTTGCTGCGCAGTCTGGAACGAGTTCCTTCTTGGACCGCATGCTTTTTCCTCTATCTAAAGTGGGATGGTAATCTCTATCCGGCTTGCTTGGCTTGTGGATCAAATAAGACACAGTATGTAAAGTGTCTATTATGTGGTCATTCCATGAGCTTGTGGTAAAGACACTGAGAGGTTTTCTGAGGTCAGGCAGGCAATAAGAGGTCCCTTATCCAGGATGCGGATTGGGGCTGGCATTGTGGTGTAGCTGGTAAAGCTACTGCCTGTGACGATGGCATCCCATATGCGTGCTGGTTCACGTCCCGGCTGCTCTGTTTCCAATCCAGCTCCCTGCTAATGGGCCTGGGAAAGCAGCAGAGGAAGGCCCAAGTGTTTAGGCCCCCGCACCCACGTGGGGGACCCAGATAAAGCTCCTGGCTCCTGGCTTCGCCTGGCCCAGTCCTGGCTGTTGTGGTCATTTGGGGGAGTGAATCAGCAGATGGAAGACCTTTCTCTGTAATTCTGCCTTTCAAGTAAATGAATACATCTTAAAAAAAAAAAAAAAAAAAGAAAAGAAAGGATCTGGATTTCAAGTTTATATTAAGAATCTTACTTCCTCTCAACCTTCCACCCCTTTTGAGACAGGAAGTGAAGCAAGCCTCTGTTATTCCTAGCCCTCGGCAAACCTAACCCCTCTTAGCTCTTCACCAAAACACAGGTCCTAGAGGTGTTCCCTCGCCATGCCCCCCTGCGCCTCCACGTGTGCATGACATGAGCACCCTTTTGGCCATGCCTGTGAGAAATCGTGGATCAGATGATATCTCTGAGCCTCTTCTGCCACAATCTAAAAATTAGGCAGGAGAGACATTTCCAGGGCCTTTCGTAGTTAACAGTCTGTAAGCGAGCCAGCCAGTCCTGTGTACACGTAATACAGGTAACTCAGTGGGTTCCTGTTGATTCTCTGAAGTCTCTCCCCAGAGCTACAACATCCTCTGTTGACAGTGGATCAAGAAGGCTGCAAAGTATAGATAGTAGTTAACATGATGTGGCCATGCAGTTAGACACCTGCTCTTGGATCCTGGCTCCATTAGGCTCTGGTTATACGGCCTTGGGCAAGTCCTTCATTTATCTATGTATCTATGTATTTACCTATCTACCTACCTATCTAGCTACGTATCTATCTATCTATCTATCTATCTATCTATCTATCTATCTATCTTTTTATCTATCACGGGGCGGGGGCAAGAACTTAATCCAGGTCTCCCATGTGGGTGGCAGGGACCCAATTACTTGAGCCATTATCACCCCTGCCTCCCAGGATCTGCGTTAGCAGGGAAGTAGACTTAGGAGCAGAGCTAGGTAGCAGGTATTGAACCCAGGCACTTTGGGAAGAGACGTGGGTATCTTAACCGCGAGGCCAAGCGCCTGCCCCAGCCTTCCACCTCCTGAAGCCTCCTTTTCCCCTGCAGAAGGGCGCTGACCCAGCCGTGCGCCTCCCGGAAAGCTGCTGTGAAGGTACAGAGGAGCAGGCCTCTTCTGTCCTGGACCTGGGACGTAGAACCTTGAAGGGGTGGTAATGGGCAGAAGGGGCAAGGGACGTGGACTGACAGTGGGACTCCAGATGGCCGCACATGGCCGAGCTGGGGAAGAGAATGGCCTTGCTCCCTGGCCAGCTCCACCCCCACGTGTCTGGGCGATGTCACCAAGACGTTGGGCTGGGTTAGAGAACACTAAGCTACCCCAAGCGGGAATGACAGATATTTCTGAAATGCATCCCAAATTCTCTATCTCAACAGGCAATGCCAAATCCCCGCTGAACAGCACAGGGTCTGTTCGCCTCTCTTCACACTGGCACCGTTCCTAATCAGAATTTCATTCTCTCCTCAAGCAGTCAACTTGAAGCTTCCATTTTTTTCCAGCCTCGGAAAGCTCAGCTCATTTGCCCTAAAATCTTTAAAGCAAACAAAGTGATAAACCAAACAACATTCCTACCATTTCTCTCTTTTTAAAAAGCTTGGCCTTTATTTATAATAGTAAAAAAAACAACCAAAATGTACAACCATGGAAGAGTCAAGATAAAATTGTGAAATCCAGGCACAGTTTTTTCATGAATGTTTTGAAGATCTCATATGCATACATTTCAAAAAGTTTTGCACCATAATAAGCTCATCTTTTAAATTTCCACAAACTTTTGGAAGTATCTGATTATTATATAGAGCGCTATAATATAATAACATACATGTTATAATTGAATACTGAAAGCAATCATGGGAGTAGATGTTTGGCCCAGCAGTTAGGACGCCAGTTGGGGTGCCTGGGTTCGAGTTCCAGCTCTGCTCCCAATTCCAGCTTTTTGCTAACACACACCCCAGGAAGCAGCAAGTGATAGCCCAAATTACTCACAGGGAAGACCTGGACTGAGTTCCTGACTCCCAGCTTCAGCCTAGGCTAGCTCCAGCTGTTGTAGGCATCTGGAGAGTGACCTGGAAGATGGCAGAGTGTGTGTGTGCTCTCTCTTCCCTCTCCTCAAATAAATTAATTTGAAAAAAAAAAAAAAAAAAAAGGGCAAGCAAGGGTGTAGACTAGAGCAGAGGTCACCACTGGAAGTCCTGGAGTTGGATCGCCAGGGCTTGCCTCCCAGACCTACCACATACTAACAGTGTGACCTTGACAAGTTCTCTCTGCTTAGCTGTACATCGGAAAAATGATAACAGAAATAACAAGAGCTCCGATTCCATAGTCAGACTTCCTGCCTGCTTTAAATCTGGTGATGTTGTTTTCTAATAGCTGTGTGATCTTGGACGGTTAATTAACTTTTCTGCCCCTCACTTTCCTTACCTGTAAATAGGACATGCCACTAAGGATTGCCCAGGCAGCGAAACCCTCAGCACAGGGCCCAGCAGTTTGTGTGACATCATCATCCCTCTACCCCAACCCTCCCATCAATCATTTTTAAATAGGATTGCTTCTCCAAGTCACCCTGACAAGGAACACCTGTGCGACTCCCCATGCGTGACATCAACATGCACCTAGCACAGGTGCACTCTGTGGCAGGGGGCTGTCACCATCAGCAAGGACTGGTTAACCAGGCGCTAACCTTCCCTCTCTAGCAGGAGTAGCTGGGGGCTGCCGGGGTTCACTTTAGCCTGGTGGAAAAACAACAGCCGGAGCATCCTGTACAGTGAGCCACGTGATGCCGTGTGTACCGCTCATGAACTTGACGGGAAACTCTCCGGCTGTCTGCACAGGGCTCCTGATGGAGGGTCCCAAGTGCCCATGTAACCACTCAACAACAGCCCAACTTAGCCAGGGTCACAGAGAGGCAGCCACCTGTTGAACCACAGCATGGTTCAGTTCCCATTATAGTTCTGCCTCCGGATAAACTTTGACACTATTATCAACTTAAGCCTGAAAAGGGGTATGGGGGTGGGCGGCCAATCGGGGTATTTCTCTTGAGCTTAACTGTCAGTTCCCTGCAGTTGTTGGCTCCCAGCAGAGTTAGAGGAGTTCATACGGCACCTCCCCAAGACTTTCCCTACTTCTCCTCCAAGACTTCTCCATACAAGATTGTCATAATTCATGTGTGCGAGGTGCTGATCTGTTTTAGACAGCGCTCTGTGCTCCAGCATGAGGCATGGCCTCAGAGGCCGCTCCCAGGCCACACACGTGGTGTGGCCTCACCAAGCGCTCGTGCTGTGCCCAGCTCCTCAGTCTCACAGGTTCCAAACCATCACTCGCCAGTGCCCTGAGGCAGCAGCACAACCACACTGACCAGGACAAGCCAACAGTGGCAAAGAGACGCCCCATGCCTCAGATTGGCACCTTCTCTCCCTGAACCCCAACCCCAGCACCAGTGGGGAGTCACAAGGGGGACTGTGGGGTGACAGAGTAGCGCTAAGGGAGGCAAAGGGTGTGGGGGTCCAGGCTGGGAGTGTGGGGGGCACAATCACCCGGCCAGGCCAGCTCTCTGCCCAGTCACTACTTTCCTCCCCTCTTCCTCTCCCCTTCCCTTCCCCCTCCCCCTCCTTCTTTTCTTTTTTCTTTTTTTTTTTAAGTATATCCAGGGTTAAAGGGCTGTTCTTCAAATATATGTTAATTTTCTGGCCTGGTAACAATCACACCTTGTTGGTCTGGAAGCCATAATGTCTTATTATTTATTCAAAAGGCAAAGAGACAGAGACATAGATCTTTTATCCCCAATTCACTCCTCCAAATAGCCACAACATCTATGGCTGGGCCAGGCTGAGGTTCAATTTCCATCTCCAAGTGAGTAGGAGGCACCCAAGTACCTGAGCCATCACTTGCCGCCTCCCAGAGCGTGCACTGCCAGGAATCTGGAAGCAGAAGCAGAGCCAGAACTCGAACCTGGCACTCTGATACGGGCTGTGTGCATCTCAAGTGCTGGTTTAAGTACCACCAAATGCCTGGCCCCTTCCTGTCTTCTTAAGGTAACGCTGCACACCTCTGCTCTCTCTGCTCTGCTCTATTCTCACCACCTGCCTCCCAGTCTTCCTTCTGTGCC